CCAAAGAACCTAACCTCCGAGACCCTTTGATTTAATGCACTTTTTCTCAATCTGACCTCTAATTGACCTTGATCCTGACTAGGAAGGAGGGAGGAGGTCACGTTCGGGGTGGAATCGATTAGTTATTGGATATAAATAATAAAAAAAATTGCTTTCTTTTTTTTGGCCAAAAATGAAGGGGGCTGAAAACCGGCCTAATTGACAATCCCCAACCTTTCCGAAAAGTAACAAATAAATTATTAGGTGTTCAGGCTTTTGCTGAAATACGTTTGTGATTTCTCTTATAGTAACGAAACAAATTATCACAAATCAAAGTAAACAACTTTATCTTGCGCGAAATGCGCTGTAGCGTTGATCGTGTTGAAATATGATATAATATTTTCTTTAGCAATTATTTGTAAAAGCAAGGCTGTTATTTTAAAAACATCTTTCATTTATACCACGACATTAATTTAAGTGAAAGAAAACAAGGGAACGAAGTTAAAGAAAACATAACAATACAACTCCCTATTTTTCTAATTACTCTTCCGACGCTATAGTCCCCGAACGCGACGTAACGACTCTATAGAATGATTAAATATAAAATTTAACTTCCAAGGCATTAATTGCGCCCCCAAAGTTTTTAAATTATGATTGTAAATGAATATCTAAATTTATATCCATTACGAGGGTCGGAAAACTCTTTAATGATTATTCATTATAACTTTTATAAAAATTGAACTACGGGCAGATGTATCAACTTTTAATTGATATCAGAATTCTTCTAAAGCTCCTTTTGCTGAATAATCTTATTATCGGATATTCGATAATAGTATACCTATTATGCAGCAAGCGAGGGTAAATTAATATTTCGAAAAATATAGCGGAGACTTGAGTCGGTTGAAAAAGTGTCAATTAAAGCAAACAAACTCGTGGTAGATATATTCAAAATACAATACTTTTGTACATAACTTTACTAATGTTGATGCAGTTATTATTTATTACGTACCACCCTGGAACAGGAGAAACAAACTAGTTGATTATAATAAGGACGGTATTATCTCTTTTACAAAACAGTATAAAAAAGAGTAGATTTTCTACAACTCAATGATACGTATTGTTTACATTTTCCTCATTTGATACAGCATATGTCCCATAAAACAGCCCCACGAGAAAAAGTGGGAGGTCTGAAAGACAAGAACATGGTATCCATATGTTTTTGACCTTGCTAAATCCAAATCCGATGTCCGATTAATCCAATCAGGTATGGGTTAAGGTCAGTTCAAGGTCAATTCTGAAAAATCAACTGCTAACAAAGTAAACCTACATATTTGAACGTTTTTGGGCTAGTTGAATCCGAATGCAGTGTTCGTTTAACCCGATCAGGTCTGAGATAAGGTCAGTTCAGGGTCAAATCAATTGTTAACAAGGTGAACCAATATATCTGTACGATTTTGCAACCGCTGAATCTGAATCCGAGGCCCGTTTGACCTGATCAAGTCTGCTAAATACTTTTAAGTACTAAATTCAAAACACTCTAGACACTCTAGAATTACATGAAGAAGATTTCTTCGATACGTCAAAGAAAATATACTCAGACGATGAACTTGTGTGTGCCCCTTTAAGTTCTCCACAAATGGGTAACTTTTTTGTTATCAATTTTACGAAAGTTTATTAATGTTTTATCAAAAAGCAGAACTTTTTATAAGGAATACCTTTTTTCGTAAAATTGATAATCAAAATGTTACCCATTTGTAGATAACTTAAAGTTTATTTACTCTTAAAAAAATTACACACAAGTTACACACTGTATACGTTTTTGGGGTTGCTGAATCCGAATCCGATGTCCCTTTGACCCGATTAGATCTGGCTTAAGATCAGTTCAGGGTCAGGAGAACTTAAAGGGACACACTGTAGATATGTAGGTTTATTGACAATTGATTCTCTACATTTGACCTTGAATTGACCTTAACCCAGACCTGATTGGGTCAAACAGACACCGGATTCGAATTTATCGACCTCAAATTCTCTTCGTGTGACAATCATATTTACTATTTTATTTGTATTGCGATTCTGACTAGTTCCATATCTCTGAAAAATGTTTACAGTTATTTTGAAGTTATTTTACAGATTTTCTTTTATATATTTCTACATTTTTAAAATATTAGACGTTAACCAACTTTAATTTGTGATGATTATTATTTATTCCTAACGCAGTTAGTGCTATTTTTGCAAGTATAATATAATTATATGTTCCGCTGTATTTTTTTTAATTTTACTAATTCATGTTCAAATTTAAATTCGGTAAGCACATTCACAACCACGACTAATAAAATTTTAAGAAAATATTTCTGGCTCCAAAATGATTAGTGTTAAGTTAGTTAAAACCTAAGCATTTTTCAGTAGGACAAAATTGCAAAATTATGTCCTGACAAATAATATAAAATATCTATAAACTGAATTCAGCCTACTAGAATGTTTACAGGAATATGTGAACGTCAAAATATTTACATTTATTTTGGTGGCTTCCAATGAACTCTGGCAAGAGTCCAAGAGAAATGGAAAATACTTTGAATAACGCTGAAACGTCATTTTATGTGGAATAGAATCCAGTGCAACTCGTTTTTAAATTTTAAATTTTCATTTTCATTAGCTTAGATTTGTTTCTTGCTATAAATACACTGTAAAAAAACACTTAAATTTCACTTAATAATGTATCAAATTCTGTTCACACTCGATTGACTGACGTTTTATTGTGGCAAAAATTATTATATGTTACTCAAATTTGAGATTCTGCCACCAGCGAATTTTTACTACATTTTAAGCTTGTACGAACAAGTAAGAGTTGACTTTTTCTCTGATATAATTTAAATTGAACTATTATTGAGGAATTTTTTTGCTCAGATTTTGCTTTTAATTGACAAAATATTCAGTTTCAAAAACTTTCACTCATTAATAATTATATACAGAGTTCCCCAGAAAATGGTGGGCAATCTGTAAGAATTGAATAAATACTGCAATAATAACGTTACCAGTTTATATAAATTTTTCTTCGGTAGCATTATTAATTTTTGAAGCTAAGATGAATATCGACATTTGCTATAACTTCTTTGTTTCTTATTAAATCTGGATAATTTTTGGGTAAAAGCTATGTATTCCAAGCTATTTCTACTAACATATTCAATTTACTAACAGCTGCAATGGGGACCAGGAGGAAAAGCACAGGACACCCTGTATATTTAATTTTTTTATAACTGATAATGTGATTAAATTAAATATAAGTAAAAATTTGTATTCATAAACATATTTTTTCTTGTTGACTCACTCAGTGCAAAATTATACAGGGTTAGTCAAAAATATGAAAACCCCCAAAAATTTCAGCTGGAAAGTATTTTTGTGGTACATCAAGTCGATTTTTTAAGTGGCGACCCTCCCTTTCGACCCCGGAAATGGAAAGAGCAGAAAATTCTGTATCCGAATATGACATTGCCCGTGACCTCAAGATCACTGGTCAAAGTCGGTTCAAGGTCAAATGTTGATTTTTACTACAATTTTTTATTTTTAACTACGGAATCAGAGGGAGTGACAGTCTTTGAATAGATATCTGATGGTACTCCTTAGTGACCTTGATCTTGAAGTCACTAAAAAATTCTGAGTCCCTTTCATTTCATCCTCGAAAATAAAAAATGACAGCCGGAATAATCACTTGACCTTTATCTGACCTTGCCCATTGACCTTAAGGTCACGTTTAAGATCATAATAACCTGCAGAATTCTACGCTCTCTTATTTCTAGCGTCGAAATAAGGGGTCGCTACTCCAAAAACATCAACATTTGACCTTGAACTAACCTTGACCATTGATCTTGAGGTCACCGGAACATAAAAATATACAAATAATTTTCACAGAAAGTAGGTAGCTTTTGTGATATTCAAAAATAAACACATAATTTATCTCTTAATTGAACCAATGATGGGTTTTTATCGAGGTTCAATACATCATTGTTTTTAATTATTATTAGAGTAACTAAATCACTGCATTAAACACAGTTTTCACTAGGATAACCGGATAATATAGTCACTTCACACGTATCTTTAATGGAACGATGGGGACCATTAATAAACAACGCATATAAATGAGGATTTTTCCTAGGATTTAGATGCAAATGTACGAAATAATAGTTTTTTTGGAGTATTTATTTAACCGATACCTCTATTTGAGTGAAAGTAATCAGTTTTAGTTCAAGTATAAGTCAGTAAAATTATCAAAATATTTGATACTAAGTGGAAATATACTTAACAATTTTACTCAATGAATTCATTCAGTAAAGTCAAAGTTTTTGTGATAAGCTGATTTTTTATTATACAAGGAGATTCTCCGTGCGCAAGTCAGAGACAAATTTCATGTCAAGAGACAATGTACCACTTAAGACTATCAATATGACTTTCCATTAAATGTATTTTTTTCTCCAAAAGATGAACCTCATTTAGTTTAGTACTTATCCATACTTCTCAAATGCAATGCGAGATATCTATTAATATAGACAAAAAACTAAAACTCATTTTTTGTTAGTTGTATTTACAAAAATTGTTCGAATGACCTAGGAGGCCTATATTCAAAACCTTGTTAAATTTTCCTTAAAAATGGATGATATAAGTCAACTATGTTGTTATTTCTTCTACTTACAATTAGTTCTAAAGCTTGACGTAAGCTAAAAGTATTTCTTAGCCAAAAGTAGTTAATAGTTTTAGTTTCTTTTACGTTAAGACTTTTGATAAACTTGATTTGACAATACACAATATTATTATATATATTATTATATATGTTATTCATGTATGTTACGCCATTGGCAGATTATATTTCAATTCACAAATCATATACTCGAAACTTCAGTACAAATATTTTAAATACTTTTCTGAATAACAGTTCCGAATATCCGGACAGAAATAGCAAATGATAGCATCCAGCGCTATGTTTTTGTACTTATAAAAACGCCATGTAAACTATGCAACCAAACAGTAGTCTTTTAATATCTGGCACACATGTACGTATTATTTTATGATTGTTTTACATTTTGTACTTTAATTAACATTGCAATAGTACGTAGTTTGATTGTGTCATTTTTGTCTGAAAAAGCTGAAACATTTATCAATTTCACTTATATTGTAATTATTAATATAATTTTTCTTTTAGTTTTGGAAAAGTTCCCACTGTTAACGATCAATAAACAAGATGACTGACGAGAAAAGAGAAATATATGACACTATTTATTTTTTAAACACTTATTTCTGTGAAGAAACTTTGCAAAGTTTTGAAAAAGTGAATATTGCATTTTCACCAGTTTTACTACAGACATTTCTGTCAATGATATTCCAAGATCAAACCTACCGTTACAGAAACAATTTTAAGTCAGCACTGCGTCTTTGGAACAATGAAGATTTATATATTAAATATTATAAAGAGTTTATATCATTCCTTCACTCAATAAATAATGAAAGTTTTTCACTAACAGGAAAGATATTTGTTAATGATAATTTCAAACTGCAGGATAATTTTAAAAATATTGTAAACGCCTTTCGTTACGAAATAGATACTGTCGATTTCAACAAAAAGGAGACCTGTACGAAAATTATTGATTATTGGGTTGAAGACAAAACACGCAGTCTTGTAAGAGATCTAACATCTAATAATAATTTAAACGAGAGTACACATCTAGCTCTGTTAGATGTTGCGTGTTTTAAAGGAAATTGGGATAGTACTTTTAATATAGAACTTAACACAAGGTCGTTTCATTTAAATGCAAATGACAGCATTGAAACACAAATGATGAAAATGACGGGCGAGGTATACTACAAATTTGATGAAGATAATTCAATTACAGCTATAGAATTGCCTTTTACTTCTGAAAAGTTCAGTTTAATTCTTATTTTGCCTGATAAAGGAAAATGTCCCATAGATACGTTGTGGAGAGTAACTGAAAATATGATGAAGAAAATGGTTGATATCTCGTTACCAAAGTTCAAAGTAGAACAACTCATGGATTGTAGAAATATTTTTCCTAAAGTAAGTAGTAGGTTTAATATGTTTTTTATTTGTTTTTCACTAAACCCTTGATTCGTTCATTCTACTCACTCGTATACAGAGTGTTTCTTAAGTAGACGTTAAAAATCCAGGGGCGTACTCTGTGTTTTTGATTTTTAATTTCTAGACCGCTTGAGATAATTTAACCAAATTCGGTGCGCGTATTTAGTATAATAGTAGATATGAAACAAAAAATTATCGGATTTATAAACTTACCACTGGTAGAGGTGTGGGTATCATCGATTATTATTTGCCAAAAAAAATCACCCTGTATAATATTACAAGTAAAATAGGTCATCATATGCGTCATTGTATTAGCTTAACTTTTTCTTTCTTTACACTTTTTTGTATTCCAAACCAATTAACAACAAAATTGGTTTATTTGATCAAGTGCATTTTTACGACACTTACTTAAAATAATAACAAAATAATTATCAATGGAATTACTTTACTATGATTTATTACAACAAATGTCAGAAATAACCACCTTCAGCTAAAATACATGCTTCAAATTTGCTTGAAATTGCAGCTCGAAGAGCTCGAAGACGTGTAAAAATTCCAGGAGAACCTAGCTCTTACATATCACAACCAGCTATAATTTGTTGACGTAAGTGCTCCTCAGATTCAATATGACCCTTGTAAACTAATGTCTTGAGATGTCCCCAAACAAACAAATCTATAGGGTTCATATCAGCTGACCTGGGTGGCCAAGGTTGACCTGATTCTTGACTGCCTCGTCCGATCACTTTATTACCGAATCTTTCATTTAAAAATTCACGAGTAGGTAAAATAAAATGTGGGAGAGCCCCGTCGTGCATAAACCCATTAGTCGAGGCAAGCACAAAAAGAGCCGAAATTTCCGAAATTTTTCGATCAAGTCGTATCAAGATGGGGTTTTTTGCATTCGCTTTCTAAAATTATGTGGAAAAAATGTATCAACTTTGTATTATGTTTTTCAGCCAAATTGCATTTGTGCAGTGCAAAATGCATCCGGAAAAATGCATTTTTTAGTCACTTAGAAAAAATTCATAACTCGATTAATTATGCCTGGAATTGACTCAAATCAGGATCCTGGGGGTTTTCGAGGTCGCTTAGGTCATCTACGAGGCTTCTCCTGAATTTCACTCTTAAATGCAACGAGATTTGACACCCGGAGGTTTTTCGGGTCGCTGATTCCTAATCTGGCGTCGGCGAGTACCCCTCAGACACCTGGTGCACCGGAATCTGGACATGGACGTCATCTCCCGGAGTTTTCCTGTAAAATTCGCGTAAACGAGCCGAAAATAGCATCAGGAGGTTTTTCGGGGCGCTCTTCTCGAAATCTCTTATAATATGACGCATGCACGACTATGGGCCCCCAGACCGGGGCCCTCGAAAAACTATTCGGGCCCTATGCGTCAGCTGATGATGAAAATGATATTTAGTAGAATATTTTCAAATTAAAGTTAATAGTTGATTAGATTAGGATAAAATGGAGTAAGATTATATTTGAGTTAAATTAAATTGAAGTTAAGAGTAGGTTAGAAATGGCAATTGATCTAGAAATAAATGATTTTGATTTATTTTTTAAACAACACTTGCATACATTGTGACATTCATCCAATTTATTCCCTCTATTTTCATCTTGCATACTTTAAATGAGATCAACAATTCCAAACAAGTTATTGCAGTATTAACGGCAGTCCCAAATGTATTGAAAATTCACTGTTTATTGATTTTTCTGGCGATGACGCCGATTTCAAGGTCCAAGTTCCGGTGCACCAGGTGTCCGGGGGGTCGTCGCCGACGCCAGATTCGAGAAGAGCGCTCCAAAAAACCCTCTGATGCGATTTTCGGCTCGTTTACGCGAATTTTACAGGAAAACTCCCGGAGATGACGTGCATGTCCAGGTTTCGGTGCACCAGGTGTCCGGGCGGTGCTCACCGACGCCAGATTCGGAATTGGCGACCCGAAAAACCCCCGTGTGTCAAGTCTCGTTGCATTTAAGAGTGAAATTCAGGAGAAGCCTGGGAGATGACGTTCATCATCAATCCTAAGCTCCAGGTCGGCGATGGACCAAGTTGAAGGTCATATTCGGGATCAGCGACCTCGAAAACCCCCAGGACTCTGATTTGAGTCCATTCCAGGCATTATTTACCGATTTAAGAGTGAAATTCAGGAGAAGCCTCGGAGATGACGTTCATCATCAATCCTAAGCTCCAGGTCGGCGATGGACCAAGTTGAAGATCATATTCGGGATCAGCGCCCTCGAAAACCCCCAGGACTCTGATTTGAGTCCATTCCAGGCATTATTTACCGAGTTTTGAAGTTTTTCTGGATGCATTTTGCACTGCACAAATTCAAATTGGTCGAAAAACATAATACAAACTTGATTCATTTTTTTCACATAATTTTAGAAACCGAAAATTCGGAGGTTCAGTGCTTTATTTCCTCGACTACATTCTTCCTCTTAGCGAAAGTAAGACCCAATAAGAAAATTTAAAATAATACCCAATAGCTGGACAAAAGCTGTCCTAAGACTCCACATTTATATAACAAAAAAACCTTTATTTTTAGCTACAGAATACACCTCTGGATATTTGACCTGTAACCTGAGGGGTTATTTCTTTACTTATTTATCTACCGCTATGACCAGTATCATAACGGTGTTAATTGACAAAGGAGTTGTTTACTATTAATAATCCAGTGGTTGGTTGTATAGGGTGACACTTAAGTTGGAAGAACAAGAGAGAAACACAAAAACTTCCAGGAAGAGTTTTAATAACAATAAAAACAAAACAAACAAACAAAATAACGACACAACGGGCTCGAACAACATTATTAATTAATTTATTGATACGCGACAGCGTACCGAGATTCAGGGAATGCGCGATCCATAGCAAAATTTGGAATGACTTTATCCATTATTAAATTAACCCGAGACTCTAAAATTAAGTAGACTGCTCGATGTGGAACCCAAGGAAAAACGGCCCTTCTTTCGGAGATTTCTCCTGAATTCGACACCTCGCTTCGACACGCCCATTTCTTGGATCCAGACGTTTCTGTTCTTATCTTACTGGCGGGAACCCTGAATATCAGGACGCTTTGGCATAACTATGCCATGTTAGTAGTTATCTAATGGACTGAATTTACATTTATATAAATAATTATGTGACTAACTGGACTTACAAGTAACCCTAGCCTTCCTCTAGTGACTCCGTGTAGCAATACGGGGCGAATTAATCAATCTCGTTTAATCTATTCTTATAGCTTGGAAAATCCGCCTAAAAACCAGCTATTTGATCTATTATTATTTTCCAATTATTATCAATTTAATTTTTCTCTTCATACCAGATACCCAACAGTCTAAGTGAACTTGTTAAAAAATATTGCTAAATTTCATAAGGCCTTCTCCAAATTAGTGTTGACTGAAATATTTTGCATTTTGGCCCATCCGTTCCGAGAACTGATAAATAAATTACCACGCGTACCGGCTTTCGTTACAGACCTCTACTTAAGAAACTTCCCTGTATTTAGCATATTTGACTTGTTTAACAATTCATTAGAAAACTTCAGTGTTGCCTAATTTTTATATAAGGTATGATATCTGTCATCCAAAGAAACAATAAGTAACAATTCTACATATATATATATATATATATAGCGGTTCTAGGCGCTCTATTATCTTTAAAAAATTGATTGTGAAACATTTCCATAATTAACTGTCTCCACATGGTTTTTAACAGAAATGATCTGTATAAATTTACAAAACAAGATTCTCTGCGAGGTCAAATAACTTTTCTTTTGATAACAGGACGCCAGTGATTAGTTATTAAAATTTTGTAAGTAAACACATTCACTTTAAATCTTTGAAAGATTGTACAGACCTTTCATAAATACTTACAAGCCAACATTGCAGGACTAGTATTGGAAACGAAAAATCCAAAAATCTTCACAATTCGTTTACAATGAACAATGAGAAACCGATACGTCAACATGAAGGAAATAAAATTACTGGTCACGTGGCTTGTAAACATTTTTGAAGGCTCTACAGAACTTTTCAGAATCGTTTTAAGAAAATAATGTTATCCTACTTTTTGTTTGTTTTGACGAGAGAAATTATTTAACTTATGTTGCAACATTGTTATTCCTGGCATATTGAGCAAAGATCCCCGTTTAGCTAAAAGTTAGCTAATTATTAAAAATTAAAAATCATTTGTTCATTAACTCTAATAAAAATTAGGTATATACTAATATGTTTGAATTTTATTACTTCAGTTAAGGCTGAAAGAAGAATTTCAGGATAATGTTTATTTGTTTGATATGCTCCAAAGCGACGAATTTCTCAAATACGCTCAAATAGAAGAAAAGGGATTTATTAATATTGACGAAGAGGGAATAGAGGCAGCAAGTGGTAAGAGAGCACTACCTATATACACTACACAGTAGGATTAACCAGTAGAATCACTGTCAGTTAATGTCACTGTAGACCAAATTCTGTGAAAGTTCAAATAAGAATATTAGTATACTAGTGAAATGTACTTAAATCTTATAAAGGGTTTGAATGTAATTATAACCCTAACGTCAATCAATAGTCATTTAATTTTATTAAAATATCTACTAAAAGGTGTTTGTAGAAAAAGTTGTTGTTGATAAGTTACCAAAACAAGTTTTTAAGATTTGAAGTGTTGCAAACTAGTTTTCATGTTCATTGTGACTTATTTCGAAAATAGCTATATTATCTCAAATATTTGATTAGAAAAGAGTTAAATTAAATTAAATTAACAATTAAAATCAAATGCATAATATTAACAAAAGATTAATATGTCAATCATCTTATACTTCTAAGAATTATACATCCTTTTATCTTAACAGAACTTAAAGAAGTTAAATTTAAGTCACAATTTTTCTCAGTTAACTGCTAAAGTTGTATGTTGGCTATATTTTCTTTCCATTTTTCTGTGTTCATTTGAGACAAATGTAAATTCGAATTCTTATGGTATTCATTAAAGATGCGCCTGGGATAATTTCAAAATTTTCATTATTAAAGAGATTGGTGATATTTTTAATCAGAAACTTTTCAAATATCTCGAAAAATCTGCGCTATATGAAAAAAATTTCCATAATCAAAATTTAATCATTCCGCGGAGAAAATATGTTAGTGGTAAAATTAATTCCACTCCTTGCAAGTGGGGCGAGAGGCAACTTTTGAATCTTTATTAAGAACCCCTATTTTTTATTGCAGATTCGGATTATATGGCTAAAGGTACGTAAGATTCGTCTGAATTTTTTTTTTCGATTCAAGATAGATATCGCTGTAATCGACCAAATTCAATTTTTTTCGATTTCTGCTACTGAGAACCTATGCATATGATTCCGCAGTACGTTTGCAATAAAAAAAATACCTCGGTTTACACTCAAAATACTCAAAAGTTTATTTATTTTGCAAATTTCGAAATTGTTACCTGTCATAAATGATTACAAGCCACGTGACCATTAATCTTGTTTAAAGCACTAATTTTAATTCCTTCATGTTGACGATTGAATTTCGGTAAAATTGAAAATTATTAAAACAGTAAGATCAAGATTACCTACATTAAAACTCAATATTCTGTTTCACTGGCTAAGATTGGTGTAATTTTTCTCAAGATTCTATTCAACCAATCAGCAATCGCATTATCTCGAGCGTAGACGTAACGCTTTGTCACTATTCATTGTAAACGAATCATTAATATTGATGACGCCAAGATTTAGGAGTTTTTCGCAGTGCATTTTTTTAAGCCAAAATCACTGGTGCGGCCAAACTCACAGTACACTAGCAGTGAACAGCGCTGCAGGCGACAAGTTTTTTGGGTTTTATGGAGAGGAATTTTGAAATAAATAATAATATTTCTTCCGATTAGAGCCTATTAACTCGTTTTGAATGTCTATATGGTAAACTGATTTGTGTTTGTTATTATTTGGTGTTTCATTTCAATCATTGAGCCACTAATTTTCACCATCAAGCGACATTTGTGTCGTCTACTTCACTAGCTAAAAAATGCTCTGGTTTTTTGTTACCAGTACCGCTCGTGCAATGTTGGGTTACCTAAGCTCGACGGTCACGTGGCTTGTAAACATTTATGCTTTGTATTAACAGGCTTACAGAAGTAGGGTTTTGTCATTTTCGAAATAATCTTCGAACTGAGAAAAATTCAAATTATTTCTTTCTTTTTCACGTTTATTTTGTGTTTCTGCAATTATAAAAAATACGTAGAGAAGAAATAACACAAACGTTAATAATTGTAAACAGAAAGAATTACATTTATAAAAATTATTTTTAATAACAGAAATGGCGTCTGTAGAACAAAATAGAAAAAAAATACATTCATTTGAAAGCAGATTTATTTAAGCACTCCGATAAGTCATAAGCGAAGAAAATCGCGTTGACCTATCCCAAACAGGACGCCTGATCTTGGATTACTATAATAACAGATTCTTGACAAGTAATTTTTCATTAATTGAAAATTTGAGAAATAAAATTTGTTTCAAGACTAATTTTGATTATTTACAATGAAAACGTGGTATTTGTTATTAAAAAGTTATTGCAGAATCGTATGCAGTAGGATAAATAGAAAAAAATGAATTTCGTCGATTGCAGCGCCACCTATTATGAATCGGAAAAATTAGTTCAGGAAAATCCTACTACCATTATATTGATTAGGAACTAAATATAATGTTCAAGATATTTTATTACATGAATCGTTCAAATGGTCATATTAGATGAAAAAGCCGCGAAGTGCTATTAAATTAGAGGGTGGAAATTGGAGATAAAGGTGAAAATGTACCTCTTTCAGTTTTTTAATTGTAGCTCGAAAACGAAGCAAAATTTCGCTAAAGTTCATAGGAAAATTTATTTAAAAGAATTGAATTTTCCATCGAAATGGCTTATTTAAAAAATTTAAAAGGAAAATTTTATGTAAAAAATCGTTAATAAACAATTTGAAAAAGAAGCAAAGAATTAGATTTTTTGTCTCTAGTTTTTTCTAAGTAAAGATAAGTATACACATTGCTTCATAGAAAAAAAAAGTAGATAAAATTTCCTTCAAAATAAGAGGCTGTACAGTATTTTTGGATGAAAATTGACTGATATATAGCCGCTCAAACTTAATTAGCCAATTTTTCTATTTTCGTCGCGTTTACCCTTATAGATTTTAATCCTCTTTTTTTTTTGCAAAAATGAAAGGAAATAAGACGTTCAAGGATTTTCATCACATGACTTGTTCGAAAAGTCATTAAAAATGAAAAAAACCACGGGATGCTATTAAATTAGAGAGTTGAAATTAAAGATAGAGCTGAAAATGCACTTTTGAAGTTTTCTAATTATAGCACCAAAACGAAGCAAAATTTCGCTGTGAAGTTCATAGGACAAATTATTTAGAGAATTGAATTTCTCATCGAAATGGCTTATTTAAAAAATTTAAAAGAAACATTTTATGCAAAAAATCGTAAATAAAAAATTTAATGAAAGCAAAAAATTAGATTTTTTTTTCCTTTTTGACTCTAAGTTGTGAAAATCTTTATTTATTATTAACAAATAAAACTATTGAAATAATTTTTTATTAAGTAAAGAAACAATTTGTTGCAAAATTAATAATAATTCTAATCATTATTATGTTAGAAACGACGAAAATCTAAAATATATTTAAGTTTGACCGGTTATAACTCAGTCAATATTAGTTCAAAAACTTTTGAAAACGCATCATTTTGAAGGGAATCTCATCTAGTTTTTTCGTACAGCAATTTTCTTTGCCTACTTCTACTAAAAAATTAGAGTCAAAGAAGTAAAAAAATAAAAAAATCTTATTTTTTGCTTTTTTGAAAATTGTTTAGTAACGATTTTTTTAATAAAATTTTTCTTTTACATTCTTTGATTAAGCTATTTCGATGGGATATTCAATTCTCTACAAAATTTTCCCTACGAACTATAACGAAATTTTGCTTCGTTTTGATGCTATATTTAAAAAACTGCAAAAGTTCATTTTCACCTCTCTTCAATTTCAATCTCTAATTTAATAGCACCCCGCGCTTTTTTCATTTTTAAAAACCCTACGAACAAGTCATGTGATGAAAATCCTTGAACGTCTTATTTCCTTGCTTTTTTGCAAAAAAATGAGAATTAAAACGTATAAGGGTAAACGTGACGAAAATCGAAAAATTGGCCAATTGTATCAGTCAATTTTCATCCAAAAATACTTTACAACCTCTTATTTTTATCTACCTTTTTTCTATATCTACCTAACCTAAGCTGACCTATATTTACTAAAAAAAACAGAGAAAAAAAAGTAAAAAAAAATAAAAAATCGAATTTTTTGCTTTTTTCAAATTGTTTGATAACGATTTTTTGCATAAAATTTTCCTTTTAAATTTTTTAAATAAGCCATTTCGATGGAAAATATAATTCTCTAAATAATTTTTCCTATGAACCATAGCGAAATTTTGCTTCGTTTTCGAGCAACAACGAAAAAACTGAAAGGGGTGCATTTTCACACCTATCTCCAATTTCCACCCTCTAATTTAATAGCACTCCACGGTTTTTTCATCTAAAATGACCCTTTGAACAATTCATACAATAAAATTGCTTGAACGTCATAGTTTCTTTTAACCCGGTTGTTTTTTTTTTGGATATAATCAATAGCATATTAGCCGTAGAATCAGAATCTGCAATAAAGAATAGAGGTTCCTATTTAAGATTTCAAAGTTTCAGGTTAAATAAATTACGCTGTACATTACGCTTAGGGTTTCTGATTTCTCTGCTTACTTTTAATTTTGGTATTGCAATGCGAAATATAAACATGATGTTATACTTAACAATCATCATTAACATTTATTATTTATTCAGTATTTTTATTAATTAGGTACTTATATGTTTCTACTTCTACTAATAAAACTAAATTAAACTTTGAGTATCTTTTTCTTAAAAACCTTTAACTTGTTTTTTTATTAAACACTTTCATTATACTTATGTTTATTACAATGTTTTTTAATCGTAGCTTTTTTCTAATAATTATTAATAATCATTAATCATGCAGTCTTTTAATTAAACAAATAGTAAATAAAGAATTTAACTGTGGAAATCTTAAAAAAAATAAGCTTTAATTTAAAGATTCAGAAGCGTTCTTCCTATTAAATTATCACTTATAATCACAATCTTTTAATTAACAAAACAAAAATAAAATAATCAACTAAAGGAACAAGAACTAAATATTTTCAGCATCAACATTAGGTAAACTAAGGAAAAAGTAAACTAAAGCCTTAAAAATTTAAAATAAATAAATCATGAGCTAGTCGAGAAACCACTTTAACCGCTCAATTATTTGTCGAGAAACGAATTGAACGCATGAACAAAACTTCTTAAAATTTCGCGTATCTTTTTGATTTAAGATGAAAAATATTCAAATCAACTCAAATGACAAAAAATTTAAGGGAATTAGACGGTATTATAATTTATATGATTTAGGCATTGTAGGTAGTCAGTATTCCAACCATATTGAGGTCTACAGTGATTTTTCTCTTTTCTTTCCCGTACCAACCGTACAGTTCAGAAACCATAAGACGGTAGACTTAAAGCAGTGTTGTCAGTTTGTCAAAGTTTCGTAAATGAAGAAACTTGTTCGTTTTCAGGGCTTCTTGTCACGATGGTGCCAGTGGAGTTTGACAAAGAGGTAAGAGAAAATGTATTCCAATCAAATACTTATTTGACTATTTATCGGGTATACATCATTATAAGTGACTGTAGGTAAAATTTTCTTTGAATCTCTGTTTTCTTTTGGTAAATTCAATAGTGCAACTTTTATCTACTATTTTAAATATAAAATAAATTACAAACATATATTTTCAGTATATATCACCAGATGGATTGAAGATGCCAGAAATCACCATAAAAACTACCATTTCCAACCGATTTGCTAAAACTTTAGTAACATGTCGGGTCCAAAACAACGACAAGTCTGCTAAAGAGGCCACTTTCAATGTTGTATTACCTGAAAAAGCCTTTATTACAGAATTTATCATGGAAATGAACGGCAAAAAATATAAATCTTATATAAAAGGGGTGGAAGAAGCTAAAGCCATTTATGACGAGGTTTAGATTAATTTAGTATTGACATTTATTTAATATTAAACTACTAGTTTCTAGGCCTTAGCCAAAGGAAGAAGCGCAGGAATTGTCGCAGCTGACACACGAGATTCGACTCAATTTAATGTGTCCGTAAATTTGGAACCTCAATCTGTAGCCGTATTTTTACTAACCTACGAAGAGATGCTCCAGCGTATTCATGATCAGTATGAACTTGTTTTAAATATTTGCCCACGGCGAATTGTAGACATCATAAATGTGGAGGTAATTAATTACTTTATTTAATATTTATAAACTGCATAACACATTAATTAAACAATTTCTGTGCTGGTTGTTACGTCGTCAGTTTATACTTTGACATATATCTTCAGAAGAAACTCTGACATTGGAAATTAAGTCCTCTAGTAAGTATTTATGTATATTCGTTGTGTGAACCATTCGTGGTGTTCCAGTGCATGGTTTGAAGCCAATTACCTATGACCTCATGGTTGTTGAGCTTAATGTATTCATCTCTATAGAAATTATGTCAGTTTTTATGAATATTTGTGTCCTACTTAGGTCTACCGACTGCTCTAGTAACTTCCCTGATTGGTACGTTTAGTAGTATTGAATAAACAGGGAGACTTATTAGTAGTGGGTTAAAGAAAACACAAATGTCATCTAAAAATTTAGACACAACTAAATTTCTAGATTAGAGAAAATATTTTGACCAAGGCTCTGCAGAGTAGCAACAGAAATTCAAGTAGTAATAATTTTAAACAAGATACATGCTTAGAATTATTTGAATTTAGAATCGACTCATCATATGTAAAAATCAAGAATGGGAAGGTTGCCTGATTTAGAACCATACACTGAAAGAATACACAGTGAACATAAATACCGGCCTGAGACTTTGATAGGGTTTCGTCCGAAGAACAGAGTCACATATTTCGCGAAACGCCTGCAGCTCTAAACCAACTCAAACTGGAACCTTTTGTAGTTAGTAGTCCTAGAGCCTATAAAAATTGTCTAAAATGGAATTTTTTAAATTTTTACTTTAGGGATGGCAACCAGTTAGGCAATTGTTTAATCATGACAACTGCTACTTAATCCTACAAACGAATGTATAAATTATTTCCGTTTTAAAGGTAAACATTAATGAGAGTAGACGACTTACGTTTGTTAAAACACCTCCGCTTAGATCGGGAAAGGAAGTGAATAAAACAATCGAGCAATTTCTTGTACCTTCATCTGACGCAAAAATAATAAACTCGAATTCATCTGTTGTCAAATTCTCTGCCGATGTGAAACAACAACAAAAAATTTGCACCTACTTTGGTACTCCTACTTCAGATGGATTCACTGGCCAATTTGTTGTACAGTATGACGTCGAAAGAGAACCTAAAGATGGAGAGGTATCTATATATTTTTAAAAATGGTAAAAGATAAAAATGCATAGAATATTTTTTTAGATTCTTCTTCAGGATGGATATTTCGTGCATTTCTTTGCACCGAATGATTTAGATCCTTTACCTAAGCACATTGTTTTCGTATTAGACACCAGTACCAGTATGATAGGGAGAAAACTTGATCAACTAAAAGACGCTATGATGAGTATTTTAAACGACGTCAGAGATGGAGATTTAATAAGTATAATTGAATTTAATGGACATGTTATCATTTGGGATATCGAATCTGAGAAATCAAAGTAATAACTTGTAATCAATTCCAAAATTTTTTGGAACCATTTCAAACGCTTGGTGTAAGTATATATAATTTTATTCAATTATATTTTTTCTAGAACATAGGCACATACCGGGTAGGAAAGTACCGATGGTCTATCTGAAGTTACGTGAGAGCGATAAAGTAAGCAATAGAAATCCATGAGATAGACAAGGATGGGTATAGTGAAGGCGTCTAATAGTCACCGCCCATTTCGCCCTTCCACAAATAAGAAGTGGATCTTATTTGTGGAAGGGCGAAACGGGCGGTGACTATGAGACGCCTTCATTATAGCCATCCTTCTCTATCGCATGGATTTCTATGGCTTACTTTATCGCTCTCATGTAACTTCAGATAGACCATCGGTACTTTCCTACCCGGTATATAAAAACTCTATTTATAACAATGGCACATAAAAAAAAACTCGAATGCAAAGATGTAGACTCCTGTAGTGCCACCCATTTTGATGTCAATAACACGGCCCGACAAATAAAAAGGTCGTGATCTGGATGACTGAGCATGGTATTCCTATGTATTTTTCGACGCTGAATCCGAGGTCAAAAAAAATTGTATACCCCTTAAATTTTTGTGTAGAGCCAAAACATCCGTTAAATAGGGTTAAAATATCATTGCGAAAGGGAGTATGAATGGGCACTTTGCAACCCTCGTGCTCTCATTTAGGGCCAAGGGCTCCCCCGACGGGGTTGGTACCCCTTCTACAGCGTGTCCACCTAGTGCGCATAAGTCCAATATCTTGGTTAATAAAAGATATAACTTAATTTTTTTCTACCGAGTTGCCTACTTTCCCGAGCTGCACAAATTGAAAATATATTTGCATATACAGGGTGTTCAGTTTTCCCTGGGCAAGTACCAACTTAATATTTTTTTTAAATGGAAACCTATATTTTTTATGCCATTATCGAATTCTATGTGAAAAATTAACGGGACTTTGTGTTATGATCCCTATTAAAATATTGATAGTTTTCGAGATAATCGACTTTTCATTTTTTTTCTTATGTTTCGTCACTTCTAGTAGTTGACATAATTATGATTGTATGAGAGCTAGAATGATTTCATGATTTACATTTTATGATTTCATTAGATGCCTTTCTGTAGAACCTACAATTTTTTAATAGCTTTCCCTATACCTAAATTGCGTAGTTTTTGCAAAAAAAAAAAACATTTTTATGTAAAATACCGGATTTGCGCCCGTTCCTTTGTCGGGAAAAATATTGTAAGGGTATTTATTTTAAGTTAGCTTGCGACTATGAGTATTCTTTTTTCAAAATTCTATTCATCCAAATTTTTTAATCTCCAATTTCACTAATAACTTTCCTAACTACGGTAACAGTGCTTGATTTTCAATATGATACAGATGAAACTTCTTCAATATTTTATTTGTCAAGCTTTTGAAAACTCCAAGGTTACTACTAATTTCCTGGCACTAATATTTGAATTTTCAACAGCAGACGCCACAAATTTAAACTAAATATTATCGTTGTTACTTTCATGTCTCCTGGTAGTTTTCTCATAATTCGCATTTGCTGTTCATTCGAACCTTTCCTTCACTTTTTCAAAACAGTGGGAATCTCTGTAGATTTATATTATTTGCTTTGTAAATACGTGCTGCTAGCAAACATTTCCCATTTTTGCTAATTTTTAACCCTTAAGTACTGACATGTCGTCCGATAGACTACTGCTATTTTATAATTTTCCATATCTTTTTTATTTAACAGAATTCTAATCCCAATATTGGTGTACTCTCAAATGAAAGGTCAACAAAGGTATACAGCACGTATAAAAGAAATATTACCGAATAGTACCAAAGTAACTGGAAACTGAAAGTTGAACGTCGTCCGGTAGACGACACGTCAGTACGAGTATAGCTACGCTTATAAGCGTACACGTATTTGTTTCCTGCTTCAAAATGTCTAGAAAAGCGAGTTCTTCAAAAACTTTTCTAAAACAACTTGCAAGACAACTAGCTGAACCACATATGAAAAGGAGAGAAGCCAATCTTCACATTCTTAGAGAAATAAAATTTTGCGTACGCCGTGTTTTGGGTATCGAAGAGAAATCACTAGATGGGATCGACGAAGATATATTAGATATATATTAGAGAAACGAAAAATATGTTCCATTTGCCCAAGTAAAAAGAGGCGAATGACAAAATACTTGTGTAACACGTGTAAGAAGCCTATATGCCTTCAGTGTATTTTTGACGATTGTAAATGTATTGTTATGTTTATAATTTTTTCGTATTTTCTATGTACAACGCTTCTTTAATATTTGTTTAACATTTAATGCAGCTGAATCTAGTTTCATTCATTTTTTTATTTTTTTTATCTCAAAACGCGGCATATATGCTTTTATGTTACATTTTCTTATCTTTAGTTACCAATATATATTTTTTCAAACACTTAGTTTAATTTTTTCAATGTTTATAATTTATATCACATACTATTATAGTGAAGTATATTATACTTAAACAAAAGTATTTCAAATTTTAAATAATGCCATAGTACAAATATTTTTTTAAAAGTAGTCTCTCAGACGACACATCAGTACATATGTTCCTACAATTGTATGTCAGTACTTAAGGGTTAATCACATATAGCGATTATATGGTTTTTTGATTTTATTTACAAATAAACGGTAACTTTCCATAAAGACTTATTTATTAAACTCAATTATCTAAATTTTTCTGTTATTAATTTTTATTTTAAATAGTGTAGCTAGACAACTAATAAATTTAATAAAAATTAATGTCTCTTGCATTCTCAAGACCTTGCAAGTTAGAATCTTTCATCACACAGATCTGTCCGGAAGGGTATAGAAGTAGAAGAGGTGTAGAAGGAGTACCAACCCCTTCGAGGAAAACCCTTGGCAGTAATACATGAGAGCACGAGGGTTGCAAAGTGTCCATTCATACTCCTTTTCATAATGATATTGATATTCATAACTTTACCGCTATTTAAGGGATGTTTTTGACTACACAAAAATTTAAGGGATAAACAAACTTTTTTAACCCCGGATTCAGATTCAGCGTCGAAAAATACATAGGAATACTATAGTCAGTCATACAGATCACGACTTTTTTTGTGTGTAATCGATAAAACACTCTCTTAGGCAAACTTTGGCTCCTGGTATTTAAGGCCATTTTAATTCATAGAATAGAATAGAGTATCCGGCAAACAAAAAAGTACAAACCATAGATTTCACAAGATACTGGCCGATCGTGCAAAAATTCTGACTATAGTATCGTTTTCAGTTCATCAAAATACGTTGGAAATGATGTGTCAGATCTTTGGGTTTGGACTTTTTATCTATTATTAGCATCAAAATGAGTAGCAATACCAGAGTCTACATCTTAGCACTCGTTTTTTTTTTGTGTGTCGGTGCAATTAATTACAAATAATTTAAAATATTGTAGGAATTCTCATTGCCCAGTTCAACACTTGCGAATGATGCAACGATAAGTAAAGCTAAAAACGTTGTGCAAAGCATGTTTGGTCAGGGAACAACATTTATGATTGGTGGCTTAGAAGTAGCACTCTACATGGTAAAAGATGGGCAGGACAAAGTAACTGATAAAAGTTCAAAATATCAACCAATAATGGTATTTTTAACTGACGGATATCCTAATATTGGTTGTGGCTCAACATCAGAGATCACTCGTATAGTAAGTTGAAACGAAACTAATTCATTTTCACAGTAAAAAAGTTACAAACTTCATACCGAGATAACACTCAAAATGGGTCGTATTTATTCACAGTCGTGAGTGTAAAAACCATTTGCGTAAAAATAAAAATAATTGAAACAATAAAAAACAACAATAATTGTAATCTATATTCGGCATTAAGACCTCCACTGACGTTATTATTTGATCCAAAGATGAAATAGGCATTTGAGGCATGTCAAATAGTACACACATTTTTACTTGTTTATGAATTGAATATAATGTCAATTCTGTAGTTTTGCTTTATGGTAAGATTATAAAAAAAGAAGTACATAATAAATAATTCATCTTGTTACTCATTATTATGCTTCATTTTAACATTTAAAAAAACAAATATGCACAATACTAAAAAATTTGCTAAAAAAATAAAGGAAACCGAACAAAAAAAAACTTACAATGTCTTTCCATTAACTTATCTAACACATGATTCCATGAAAATGTCCGTGTTTTTTGTTGATTATGTTGGACAGAACCGGTACTTGTTTTTTGCCATTTTAATATGTTACCAGTGGCAGGTACAATGGGTAATTTTTACTATTTATCAAAAATTTCAGGATAGGCATTAATTTTATTATAAAAAAAACGATACCTTCTTATTTTTCAGGTAACGCAACTAAATATGAAAAACAATAATGTGCCAATATTTTCCCTTTCTTTTGGTGAACGTGCTGATAAGTCATTTTTAAGAGAATTGTCCCTAAAAAATTTTGGGTTCTCAAGGCATATTTATGAAGCATCTGATGCTTCCCTCCAACTTCAATCATTCTACAAACAAATTTCTTCGCCTTTGTTAAGCGATATCAGATTTAAATACGAATCTGATGTTACCGAAGTCACTAGATCCCATTTTCCAATCTACTTCAAAGGCGGCGAGTTAGTTGTTTCAGGACAATGCCGAGGTGTGTTATGGAACTGTTTTTTAATATTTTTACAGAAAGGTAATTTATGATAATGTAAATCTTCGTTCACAGATTGTCAACTATCTAGCACCATCAACGGTTGTGGACCAAGGGGCTACTTAAATTTGGGATCTATAATAAAAAATCCGGTTACTTCTTTAGAAAGACTGTGGGCATACATGACGGTTAAGCAGTTGTTAGAAGAAAGAAATATTACCGACAACAAAGAGGAATTGACCAAAAGAGCCGTCGAATTAGCACTTAAGTATTCCTTCGTCACAGAAGTTACGTCTTTGGTTGTAGTGAAACCTGATGAGATTTGCGACACCAATGCCGACACCGACCAAGGAGAAAGAGGTACTATTTAACTCTGCTGTTAATATGGAACTCCCCATTAAATAAAAGTATGTTTTAAAGTTTATTGGTACAGATGCTTCTAATTGTTAAGTGGATTTGTTTTTGTATTAATAACAGATTTAATTTAATAGATCTTTAATTAGTTAACTCTTGGAACACATAATAAACAATGTACACAACATGTACATACATATACATATATACATATATAGAATTCTTAAGTGATAGAACTGGATCCATATTATGTATAAACAGAAATTTTATTTTAGGAACATAGAATCATCATAGAAAAATCAAAGACAACTGTTGATTCATTGTATAATCGATATTCTATTGATAATTTTGTTTTTGATATTCACCATATAGTATAATTTTTTTCCTTAAATAATACAATGACTTTAAGAGGATTCCATATTAAGGGCCCCATATTCTTTAAATAGTGTTTTCCGCAAAGACAAATAATTTCAAACATTTAATAACTGAATAATCTAAAGCTTATCAAATAATAGGAATGTTATGTCATGCCACCTGAGTATTTTCAAAGACGCCGCAGTAAAACGAATAAACAAGTGCAAAAAACGATCAAACCATCAAGGTTTTAGGTACTGAAATCTACGAAAATACTAACTCTTTTATATATAATTCCACATGTAAATATTCTTATAACATTTACTTGCTTAGTCCTAAATATAAAATTGTTTACTTTTATTTATAAGTACGTGAAAATAATTCTTAAAATGTGGGTTTAGAATAACAGCAAACTCATGTTTTACAAACGCTATTTTTTAGTTATAATTTTATTTGATTAAATTTAAATGGTAACAATGAATAAACAAAACATCAAGGATTTTATTTTTGTGCTTACTTTTGTTCTACACGTTTTACTTTTAAAGATTTCAGTACCTAAAAACGCCAGAAATTTCACTGTTTCTCGGCCAGGAATATGGCCACCTTAATAGCAGAACTTTTTTAGTATATTATTTCAACATTTTGATCATTATTATTAAATGATGTTTTTTAATATTGCACAACGGGGAAGTCAAACTTAACGCAGCAAGAATATTTAATAGTATCTTTGAAAATAAATCTGAAAATTTTTTGTGTGTTTTTCAACATTTACCAACTAATCAAATATACCTACTGTTCAGTTTCATTTTCGTTTTAAGTAACATTGTTTATCATAATCAAATAATTGTATACAAGGTTTCTCTTTTTCTCCACCTCTTCCAAATATAGGCATTTAACAGATTTTGTATTTCCAAAGTAACGAAGTTAGTAATACTAGGTATGTACCAATTTAATTTGAAACATTCTCTTTTCAGTTTTTGATAATTTAGGCATAGACGGAAGTGGTAAAAAGAAGGTTATCAGAAAACGTGTTATAAAGAAGCAAATTGCCAGAGGTAAGTTCAGTGAAAACTCTATTATATCTCATTTAACATTTCTCTGTACAAAAACTAGTTTTTGGGCATTACAGTGATTTTTTCGTCTCGAAAATAAATCGTTGTTTTCTGTTAGCATTTTGTTAATGAAGAGATTTTTACAGAAATGATTTTGTTTTTTTTTTCTTTTCGTTCAGACCAGAGAGAATCAGGGGAAATTGTGGTTGTAGAAGAACCAGAGCGTGTCGAAGGTAAATAAAACAATATTGTTCCAGGTAATATAAAAGATATGTAATTCAACGAAAATGGATAACTTGATTTTCCGCTGCACTGACTTGACATAAATATCATTTATCCCCATGTGAAGTCATGGTTAATTTGACAATTTTGTACTCAATTTAATAGTGTTTTACATATTTTTCTTCAAAATTAAAAAAAACATTAGATTCAGAGAAAAATTCTCTACCATGCAAAATAATAGAAATGTATATGAAAAGTATGAATGAAGAACAAAATCTTTAATATTAGTCGAGTATGCAAAGCCGCGATATAAAAAGTGAACTCTTTTTTACTCGAGCTTTCGGGGGGAACTACAAAAAAACATTGTATGTCTAGTAACAATAAAGTAATTGTTTATTGTTTGTTTGTTTACATATAGGGTGCCCCGACATTAATTCAGAAAAATTTGGTAGATTCTTAAGATTTTAGGGAATCCGTATTTTTTTTTTTTACCAACTGGCCCCCTCTTTCGGAGTTGTAGCCCGCTGAAATCTGCCCCTAAGGATAGTCTTTTTCTCAGTCAGAACCCTGTTGTACGAGAATCACTAAATTTTATATAGAGGCGTTTTATGACATGTGGAATCTGATATAGTGCTACGCCTCTTGTCTTTGGAACCAAAAAAAATTGATCGCAAATTTGAATTTCTTATAAATTATTAGTTAGCTAGAAAGCCGATGAATTTAGAAACTGTTTTGTCTCTTGATATTTTTTTCGTAAAATGGAAAGTTTTTGAGGAAAATGGCGAATCACGATATGCATTCGATCACATTTTGACATTTTTCTCGAAAATATAAAAAAAAGATTATTCTTAGGAGCAGATTTCAGGGGGCTGTAACTCTGTAAGCCACTTGCCAAAAATAAAAAATACGGTTCACCTAAATTTGTCTTAATAATCTGTGACCAAATTTTGTTGCACTAATTTCGGGACACGCTGCATATACAGGGATACAGGTTAACTCGAATGACTGATATTTTTACCGTTACTAATTGTTTGTACATAAGTTTCAACTTTAAAATCAAAATTTTTAATAAGTATTGGGCGGAATTATAAAATTTAAAGTCTGTTGTAAAGAGAATTGTGAGAGCTTTCAAAAGAAATATTACTCAACTCCAATACCATTTAAATATTTTGGGGTGATGCTTACCCTTGCTTGGAAGTGAAAGTGGCGAAGTCAAAAATACCTGCAAAGAATGTCCCCCTTTAATCTAAAATCGACGGGTTTGAGCGTTTTTCTACAATCTTGACGCAGTTCCTAAAAATGGTTTTCATTTGGCCACCCTGTATATATATATATATATGAACTATACATTTCTATTATTTGCTTGGTAGAGATTTTTTTTCTCAATATAATGATAAATGACAATTTGACTTTCACGTCATACTTTTTAATTTTGAGGTAATATATGCAAAATACTCGTTACTCTTAATTTGAGTACAAAATATTGATTCATTTAAAATAAACAATTAACACTCGCTTGCCATAACTGTAGACCTTGAAATAAAATAATAATAATTGTGATTACCAGTTTGTAATATTACTAGAGCCACTAAATATAATCATTGTTTTTCAAAATTGAACCACAAATGGCGCAGAAATTGTCGCAATTTTTATGATACACCCGGTATAAGAGGCATACCAAATTAAGGCAACATTTCTTTATTGGGGAAAGAAAATTAGCTAATTACTAAAGAAGCAAAAGAGCAATTTAAGTACTAGTTAATATAGGCTAAATGAAAAAAACATTTAAAAATTTACGAGGTATTGTCATATCTCATATTTCAATATAATAAATACCTTGTAAATGTAATGTGATAGAAAGAAACTGAAGTACATCAACAGGCCAGTCTTTCTCTACACCTTTTCC